AAAAAATATATATCAATAATAATAATGATTGTAATACTGATTATAATAATAATGATGATAATAATAATAATAATAATAATAATAATAATGATAATGATAATGATAATGATAATGATAATGATAATGATAATAATAATAATGATAATGATCATCATTATCATTATCATCATTATTATTATCATTATTATTAAGATGAGGAATGATGATGGTGATGGTAATAATATTAAGAAAAAATATAACAATAATAACAATAACAGTGGTGATCATAATGAAAATGATAATTACAATAAAATTGTTAACCTATTTGCGACTGGTAAAAATGAACAAAAAATGGGGAAAATGCTGTGCTCATTTTTTATATTTTTTGTGAAATGTCTATACACAAAGATGGCTCTGCCTTACATGATTTCACCTTTACTTGAATTGGCAGGAAAATGTATTTTTACTTGTGCTATGAATATCGATGGTTATTTTAGTTATAAACATAATAATTACTATAATGTTATAAACATTAGTAACAGCAAAATAAGATAACGTAAAATATTTTCGTAAATTAAAGAAAAGGGTAAACAGGCGAGACAGGCAGTACAAGTACAAGTGTAGCCATCTATGTGTAAAAACAATTAAACAAGTAAACTCATAGTGGGCATGTCACGTATATGTGACACTCGGTACGAATGGGTTAATAACGAGAATAACATTAACAATAATAATAATAATAATAATAATAATAATAATAATAATAATAATAATAATAAAAATAATAAAAATAATAATAATAATAATAATAATAATAATAATAAAACAACAACAACAACAACAATAATAATAACAGTAATGATAATGATAATGATAATGATAATCAACGGGGGCTAACGCTGACAGGGGAGCATAGTCACATCCTCCTTCACTTCCATCTATGGGGTCCCTCATGCTGAAGTCCTAGGCATGCCTTCGGCCCATCTTGAGCTCCTTGCAACAAGTCTGGTCGAGCTGCCAAAGCCATGACTTCCTAGGTCTCCAACAGGCGTCCAAGGTCTTATGCCAGTCTCACAGTGCAGTCTTCAGTTGGACACATGGTCCTGCTGTCTGTACCCCTTGATCCAGCACAAGAACTTGTTAGAAGAGGTATCAAAATTAGACTCCATGTATAGCTTTGCTTCCAATGAGCAAAATTGGCAGTATCAAGGCCTTAAAGACATGTAGCTTGGTCCTTCTGAATAAGTACCAACATCTCCAAATGCTCTTGCTGATCAAGTTCATGGTTCCTGTTCTCAGATCAATCTGTCTATTGACTTCCTGGTCCAACCCAAGACATGGACTGTGCTACCAAGGTATACATACCTTGGTATGGTCTCAGTGACTTCAACATCCTCACCGCAAGCAAATATCGTCTGAAGAGGTTCCCTTAACAAGCCCCAAAAATCCTGGATCTTGCTCTTGGTCCAAGAGACCTCTAGGCCTAAGGGCTTCATCTCACTACTAAATGCATCAAGAGCTGCCACCAGAGTTTCCAGAGACTGAATATCAACACTGTCAGCGAAGTCAAGGTCCATGACCTTGATGTTGCCCAGTGTTATCAAGTCCATGCAAGTGTTGAAAATTGCTGTTGCAAGGACGCACCTTGTCTTACTCCTGAGTTAACAGGGAAGAAGCTTGGCAGGCCCCCACCAAACTTTAGGGCACTTTCAGTACCAGTATATAGGCTTGCTATTAAACCAAAAATCTGTCAGATTTCCCCTAAGTTTCAGGATCTCCCATAGCAATTCATGAGGCACTTAGTCAAACCCCTTGTTGAGGTCAATGTAGGCTGCAAGCAGCCCATGACCAAACTCACAACAGTGTTCACAATGACTCGAAGCATTACCATGGACTTGCCAGGAGTGAATCCAGACTGCTCCGATCTCAGGTGCTTTAGTAGGTGGTCACGGATCTGTTTCAGAAAAATGTGAACAAAAACTTTGCCTGGTATACTGAGCAGTGTGATGTCATGGTAGTTGTTACAGTCCCATCAATCCCCTTTCCCCTTCAAGAGAAAGGATCACCACACCCCTCAACAGGTCCAGGGGAATGGAACCAGACTGCCACAGATTGCAGCCAATATGGTATGTAAGCCCTGTGCCACCCCCAGCCTTTAGCAGTTCAGCAGGGATATCACATGTGCCTGAAGCTTAAAGATTGCCTCCCTAATCTCAGTTAGGGTAGGAGGCTCCTCACTGTTGGGTGGCTTCGGCAAAAGGATTGTGACACCACTAGCGTCCAGAATAACGGCTGAAGGGTCTACCTGGTACAGCTGCTTAAGATACTCAGCCCAACATTTATGAACCCAAAAACATGAGACGATCCTTCCATCTACTGAGCAGACTGCAGTCATCTGTGAGGAGGGCTTGGAGTTCTATTTTCTCAGGGCTTGGTAAGCAGGACAAAGATCATTTACTAAGAAATGGCCTTCAACCTCCTCAGCAAGATTCCTGATGAACTGTTCCTTGTCCCTTTTCAGCAATATCCAAGCACTGTGCACCAAGGAAAGGCACAAATCCGGACTGCCTTTCAGTCAAGCCATGCAATACACATCTGAGGGTTTACTAGTTCTATGAACAAATCAGAGACTGGTGGGGCAAACTTCCGGACACACTCCTCCTCCTCCTCCCCCTCCCTCAATCTGTCCAAGTAAAACCATT